AGCTCCTTCATATCCCTTGTAAGTTGTATTCCTGGGTATTTTATATTCTTAGTAGCAATTGCAAATGGGAGTTCACTCATGATTTGGCTCTCTGTCTATTATTGGTGTATAGGAATGCTTGTGATTTTTGCACATTGATTTTGTATCCTGAGACTGCTGAAGTTGCTTATCAGCTTAAGGAGATCTTAGGCTGAGATGAGGGGGTTTTCTAAATATACAATCATGCTATTTGCAAACAGAGACAGTTTGACTTCCTCTCTTCCTATTTGAATGACCTTTATTTCTTTCTCTTGCTTGATTGCCCTGGCCAGAACTTCCAACACTATGTTGAATAGGAGTGGCAAGAGAGAGCCTCCTTGTCTTGTGCTGGTTTTCAAAGGGAATGCTTCCAGTTTTTGCCCATTCAGTATGATATTGGATGTAGGTTTGTCATAAATAGCTCTTATTATTTTGAGATATGTTCCATCAATACCTAGTTTATTGAGAGTTTTTAGCATGAAGTGCTGTTGAATTTTGTCGAAGACCTTTTCTGCCTCTATTGAGATAATCATGTGGTTTTTGTCTTTGGTTCTATTTATATGATGGATTACATTGATTTGTATATGTTGAACCAGCCTTGCATGCCAGGGATGAAACCAACTTGATCATGGTGGATAAGCTTTTTGATATGGTGCTGGATTCAGTTTGCCAGTATTTTTTGAGGATTTTTGCATCAATGTTCATCAGGGATATTGGCCTGAAATTTTCTTTTTTTGTTGTGTCTCTGCCAGGTTTTGGTATCAGGATGATGTTGGCCTCATAAAAAGAGTTAGGGAGGATTTCCTCTTTTTCTATTGATTGGAATACTTTCAGAAGGAATGGTACCAGCTCCTCTTTGTACCTCTGGTAGAATTCGGCTGTGAATCCGTCTGGTCCTGCACTTTTTTGGTTAGTATGCTATTAATTACTGCCTCAATTTCAGAACTTGTTATTGGTCTAGTCAGGGATTTGACTTCTTCCTAGTTTAGACTTGGGAGGATGTATGTGTCCAGGAATTTATCCATTTCTTCTAGATTTTCTAGTTTATTTGCATAGAGGTGTTTATAGTATTCTCTGATGGTAGTTTGTATTTCTGTGGGATCAGTGGTGATATCCCATATATCACTTTTGTGTCTATTTGATTATTTGATTTTCTGTCTTTTCTTTTTTTTTTTCTTTTTCTTTCTTCTTCTTCTTTTTTTTTTTTTTTTTTTTTTTTTTTTTTTTGAGATGGAGTCTCACTCTGTCGCCAGGCTGGAGTGCGTGGCATGATCTCAGCTCACTGCAACCTCTGCCTCCTTGGTTGAAGCGATTCTCCTGCCTCAGCCTCTCAATTGCTGGAACTACAGGTGCACGCCATGGTCCTCAGCTAATTTTTGTATTTTTAGTAGAGATGGGGTTCACCATGTTGGTCACGATGGTCTTGATTGCTTGACCTCATGATCCACCTGCCTTGGCCTCCCAAAGTGCTGCGATTACAGGCGTGAGCCATAGTGCCTGGCCAATTCTTCTCTCTTTTCTTGTTTATTAGTCTGACTATCAGTCTATCTATTTTGTTGATCTTTTAAAAAAACCAGTTCCTGGATTCATTGAATTTTTTGAAGGGTTTTTCATGTCTCTATCTCCTTCAGTTCTGCTCTGATCTTAGTTATTTCTTGTCTTCTGGTAGATTTTGAATTTGTTTGCTCTTGCTTCTCTAGTTCTTTCAATTTAGATGTTAGGGTGTCAGTTTTGGATCTTTCCTGCTTGCTCTTTAGGGCAGTTAGTGCTATAAATTTCCCTCTACACACTGCTTTAAATGTGTCCCAGAGATTCTGGTACATTGTTTCTTTGTGCTCACTGGTTTCAAAGAACATCTTTATTTCAGGCTTCATTTCATTATTTACCCAGTAGTCATTCAGGATCAGGTTGTTCAGTTGCCATGTAGTTGCGTGGTTTTGAGTGAGTTTCTTAATCCCGAGTTCTAATTTGAGTGCACTGTGGTCAGAGAGAATGTTGTTATGATTTCTGTTCTTTTGCATTTGCAGAGGAGCGTTTTACTTCCAATTATGTGGTCAATTTTAGAATGAGTGCGATGAGGTGCTGAGAAGAATGTATATTCTGCTGATTTGGGGTGGAGAGTTCTGTAGATATCTATTAGGTCCACTTGGTCCACAGCTGAGTTCAAATCCTAAATATCCTTATTAATTTTCTGTCTCGTTGATCTGTCTGATATTGACAGTGGGGTGTTAAAGCCTCCCGCTATTATTGTGTAGGAGTCTAAGTCCCTTTGTAGGTCTCTAAGAACTTGCTTTATGATTCTGGGTGCTGCTGTATTGGGTGCATATATGTTTAGGATAGTTAGCTCTTCTGGCTGCATTGATCCCTTTACCATTATGTAATGCTCTTGTCTCTTTTGATCTTTGTTGGTTGAAAGTCTGTTTTATCAGAGATTAGAATTTCAACTCCAGCTTTTTTTTTTTATCTCTCTCTATTTCTTGGCAAATATTCCTCCATCCCTTTATTTTGAGCCTATATGTGTCTGCACGTGTGATGGGTCTCCTGAATACAGCACACTGATGGGTCTTGACTCTATCCAGTTTGCCAGTCTGTGTCTTTTAATTGGGGCATTTAGCCCATTAACATTTAAGGTTAATATTGTTATGTGTGAATTTGATCCTATCATTATGATGCTGGCTGGTTGTTTTGCCTGTTTGTTAATGCAGTTTCTTCATAGTGTTGATGTTCTTTACAATTTGGTATGTTTTTGTAGTGGTTGGAACCGGTTGTTCCTTCCCATATTTAGTGCCTCCTTCAGGAGTTCTTGTAAGGCAGGCCTGGTGGTGAGAAAATCTCTCAGCATTTGCCTGTCTGTAAAGGATTTTATTTCTCCTTTGCTTATGAAACTTATTTTGGCTGGGTATGAAATTCTGGGTTGAAAATCCTTTTCTTTAAGAATGTTGAATATCAGAGATATGCTGTTAGTCTGATGGGCTTCCCTTTGTGGGTAACCTGATCTTTCTCTCTGGCTGCCCTTAACATTTTTTCCTTCATTTCAGTTATGGTGAATCTGATGATTATGTGTCTTGGGGTTGCTGTTCTTGAGGAGTATCTTTGTGATGTTTTCTGTATTTCTGAATTTGAATGTTGGCCTATCTTGCCAGGTTGGAGAAGCTCTTCTGGATAATATCTTGAAGAGTGTTTTTCAACTTGGGTCCATTTTCCTCATCACTTTCAGGTACACCAATCAAACGTAAATTTGGTCTTTGCACAGTCCCATATTTCTTGGAGGCTTTGTTCATTCCTTTTTATTCTTTTTTTCTAATCTTGTCTTCTGTCTTTATTTCATTAAGTTGATCTTCAATCACAGATATCCTTTCTTCTGCTTGATCGATTTGGCTATTGAAACTTGTATATACTTCACAAAGTTCTCATGCTGTGTGCTGTGTTTTTCAGCCCCATCAGGTCATTTATGTTCTTCTCTACACTGGTTATTCTAGTTAGCAATTCTTCTAACCTTTTCTCAAGGTTCTTAGCTTCCTTGCATTGGGTTAGAACATGCTCTTTTAGCTCAGAGGAGTTTGTTATTACCCACCTTCTGAAGCCTATTCCTGTCAATTCTTCAAACTCATTCTTCCATCCATTTTCGTTCCCTTGCTGGTGAGGAGTTGTGCTCCTTTGGAGGAAAAGAAGTGTTCTGGTTTTTGGAATTTTCAGTCTTTTTGCACTGGTTTCTCCCCATCTTTGTGGACTTATCTACGTTTGGTCTTTGATGTTGGTGACCTTCGGATGGGGTGTTTGAGTGGACATGCTATTCCTTTCTGTTTGTTAATTTTCCTTCTAACAGTCAGGCCCCTCTGCTGCTGGTCTGCTGGATTTTGCTGGAGGTCCACTCCTGACCCTGTTTGCCTGGGTATCACCAGCAGAGGCTGCAAAACAGCAAAGATTGCTGCCTGGTCCTTCTTCTGGAAGCTTCATCCCAGAGGGGCACCTGGAGAGTATGAGTTATCTGTTGGCCCCTACTGGGAGGTGTCTCCCTGTCAGGATACACAGGGGTCAGGGACCCACTTGAGGCAGTCTGACACTTAGCAGAGCTCAAACAGTGGGCTGGGAGGTTTGCTGCTCTCTTCAGAGCTGTCAGGCAGGGACGTTTAAGTCTGCTGAAGCTGCTCCCACAGCCACCCCCTTCCCTAGGTGCTCTGTCCCAGGGAGATGGGGGTTTTATCTATAAGTTCCTGACTGGGGCTGCTGCCTTTCTTTCAGAGATGTCCTACCCAGAGAAGAGAAATCTGGCAGTCTGGCCACAGCAGCTTTGCTGAGCTACAGTGGGCCCCACCCAGTTTGAACTTCCCAGAGGCCTTGTTTACAATGTGAGTGTAAAACTACCTTCCGGAGCCTCAGCAATGGCGGACGCCCCTCCCCCCCACCATGCTGGAACATCCGCAGTCCATCTCAGACTGCTGTGCTGGCAGTGAGAATTTCAAGCCAGTGGATCTTAGCTTACTGGGCTCTATGGGGGGGTGGGACCCGCTGACCCAGACCACTTGACTCCCTGACTTCAGCACCTCTTTCCAGGGGAGTGAATTGTTCTGCCTTGCTGGCATTCCAGGCGCCACTGGGGTATGGAAAAAAAGAACTCCTGCAGCTAGTTTGGTGTCTGCCCAAACGACCGCCCAGTTTTATGCTTGAAACCCAAGGCCCTGGTGGTGTAGGCACCTGAGGTAATCTCCTGGTTTGCAGGTTGTGAAGACTGTGGAACAAGCGCAGTATCTGTGCTAGAGTGTGCATGGTACCTCAGGCTCAGTCCCTCATGGCTTCCGTTGGGTAGGGAAGAAAATTCCCCAATCCCTTGTACTTCCTGGGTGGGGCATTGCTGCTTCGACTCGCCTTCCGTGAGCTGCACCCACTGTCCAGCCAGTCCCAGTGAGATGAACTGGGTACCTCAGTTGGAAATGTAGAAATCACCCACCTTCTGCGTCAGTCTCACTGGGAGCTGCAGAGCTGTTCCTATTTGGCCATCTTGCCAGCAATCCCTGTAAAAAGTTTTTAACTTTTTACAGGGATTAAATAAGTTCAATAATAACATTGTGTGTAAGTGGATTCAAACAAAAAGGCAGACAGTGGCTGAATGGATTAAAAAAAAAAAAAAAAAAAAAAAAACCAACTATATGCTACCTACTAGAAACTCACTTCACCTATAAAGGCACACAAAGACTGAAAGTGAAGTTGTGGAAAAAGGTATTTCATGTAACTGTAAACCAAATGAGCAAAAGTATCTATACTTATGTCAGATAAAATAGACTATATATCAAAGACTATAAAAAGAGTCAAATAAGATTACTATGTAAAGATAAAAAGGTCAATTCAGCAAGAGTATATAACAAATATAAATATCTATGTAGCAAACAGCAGAGCTCCCAAGTATATAAAGCAAATATTAATGCATTTAAAGGGAGATATACACAGCAATACAATAACACTAGAGGACTTAACACCCAACTCTCACTAATGGACAGATCATCCAGATAGAAAACCAACAAAGAGGGGCACATATTCTCAGGATCTCCTGAGGACTGTGTCATGGGCCATGGTCACTCATACTTGGCTCAGAGTAAATAGCTTCAAATATTTTACAGAGTTTTACTCTTTTGGTCAACAATCATTTGGCACCCAAACACATGGGGACTAAGAGAAGGCTTGGGACCCTGAAGGAGTTACCCAAAGTCAGAGCTAAGTTACCAGCAGAGGCCCATTGGAAGCCTCCCCGACTTTGAGCTTCTCATCCAGTGGAACTGGTAAGTACTCCTGAGTCCCTGACCTCCCTTTGGTTGATGGTCCTTGATTTACTCTGAGCTGTTTTTATTTTTTTTCTCTCCTAGGAAGATGTTGTTTAAGGATCCTACTTTTAGTTCAGAGGTGTATTCTAAAGGATCTTCTCCATTGCTTTTTCTCCAAAATTAATCTCTACTTGGCTTGTCTGTGTGCATTTGCATGAGGAACTGAACCATTGTTTTCATAGATAAATGAGAGACTGAGTTTTCTCAGCTCCAAAGAGAAAGGCCATTTTGCTCCTTCCAGCTGAAAGGTGACTCTCGGTGACCAAAAGTCTCGTGGGATTGTCTGTGGGGTTGACCCCTGTGAGGTGCAGTGGCCCTACAGAGAATCGTCAACAAAATTATTTTAAAAAAGCCTCATCTGGGAAGCACATATGGGAACTGGTCACTTCCCGCTTTGGGTTCTCCTGGAGGTGCTAGACCCCTGGAAAGAGAAACTGACACATGCAAGAAGACAGCAGTGACTCACTGGTGATGCTGTGAAGTCCCATCTGTAATGAGCACACACTTCGACCCATTCCACCAAAACCCTAAGCCATAGCTCAGTTCCTCCTTTTAAGAAGAATAACAACAACAACAAAAAAAAAAAACAAGGAGAATGACTCCCTTTCAAGCACTCTGTTGGTTTTATGGCACCCTTATTTCACAGGGTTTGTGTAAAATGGAAATGTTATGGTCTTTGTGCACATTTACATCAAGGAAAAAGAGCCCTAAGGTCAACCTGCAAACTATAGAGTTCTTAAATTCTCTTTTTCTCTATTTTCTTTTCTGCCTACTTTAAATCTGCTGTTACTTTTCTACTGAGATAAAAACCACTGTTTGGATACAACCATTGAGTTTTTTTTTTCTTTTTTTCTTTAGCAGGCCAATAAATTTGTATTAATATCTCATGGCTAGAGTCCTGAAGTAAAAGCTATAGGGTGTGTGTGTGTGTGTGTGTGTGTGTGTGTGTGTGTGTATCTTTAAAAGGACTTCATGTTTTTGTTTTTTGTTTTCTCTCCTATGATCTTGTTCCTCTTGATATAAGCTTTTCTTAGTATTTTACAGCTTGGGGTTCCTTGAAGAAGACAGAGAAGGCACCAAACTGCTTTTTGAGGAGAAACTTCTATTTCCTTGTGGAACCCCCAGAGTAAACAGACAAGTTTCCTCTCAGATCTTAAACTGCTTACTTGTATTTTGTTGTGTTGCCTGATTTGTTTTTCCAACTACAATAGATACAAAAACAGAAGTTACTATTGGATCTTTAAAATAAGAGAGAGTGCACTTTAGAAATTTAAAGAAATGTCTTCAAAAAAAAAAAAAATGTACTGTAAAAGTATGGTCTAGCCTCACAATAATTTTTTTGGAGGCCCAGATACAGTATGGACTGCCCAGAGTGGAGGTCTAGTTAAAAGATGGAGACTAAAATTAAAACTACATATCTAAGTAAAATTGGTCTCCTTATACAATCGTATGATAAATTATATAATTTTATATGTAATTAACAATTAAATCCATTTTAATTTTCCTCTGGCACACCAGACTTTCTCCCTGTACTTTGAGATAAATTTTGCTATCTGATTTATAACCTAAGAGTTGCTTCTTCTAATATGCTAATTTAGGACTATTTAGCTGACAACTGCCTAGGTTAATGAAACAGGTTACACGAATTTGAAAGTCTAAATGCTCCAATTAAAAGACACAGACTGGCAAATTGGATAAAGAGTCAAGACCCATCACTGTGCTGTATTCAGGACACCCATCTCATGTGCAGAGACACACATATACTCAAAACAAAGGGATGGAGGAAGAGCTATCAAGAAAATGGAAAACAAAAACAGGCAGGGGTTCCAATCCTAGTCTCTGATAAAACAGACTTTAAACCAACAAAGATCAAAAGAGGCAAAGAAGGCCGTTACATAATGGTAAAGGAATCAATTCAACAAGAAGAGCTAACTATCCTAAACATATATGCACCCAATACAGGAGCACCCAGATTCATAAAGCAACTCCTTAGAGACTTACAAAGAGAATTAGACTACCACACAATAATAATGGAAGACTTTAACACCTCACTGTCAACATTAAACAGATCAATGAGACAGAAAGTTAACAAGGATATCCAGGAAATTGAAGTCAGCTCTGCACCAAGTGGACCTAATAGACATCTATAGAACTCTCCACCCCAAATCAATAGAATATTCATTCTTCTCAGCACCACATCGCACTTATTCCAAAATTGACCACATAGTTGGAAATAAAGCACTCCTCAGCAAATGTAAAAGAACAGAAATTATAACAAACTGTCTCTCAGACCACAGTGCAATCAAACTAGAACTCAGGATTAAGAAACTCACTCAAAACCACTCAACTACGTGGAAACTGAACAACCTGCTCCTGAATGACTACTGGGTACATAATGAAATGAAGGCAGAAATAAAGATGTTATTGGAAACCAATGAGAACAAAGATACAACATACCAGAATCTCTGGGACACATTTAAAGCAGTGTGTAGAGGGAAATCTGTAGTATTAAATGCCCACAAGAGAAAGCAGGAAAGATTTAAAATTGACACCCTAACATCACAATTAAAAGAACTAGAGAAGCAAGAGCAAACACATTCAAAAGCTAGCGAAAGGTAAGAAATAACTAAGATCAGAACAAAACTGCAGGAGATAGAGACACAAAAAACCCTTCAAAATATCAGTGAATCCAGGAGCTGGCTTTTTGAAAAGACCAACAAAATTGATAGACTGCTAGCAAGACTAATACAGAAGAAAAGAGAAGAATAAAATAGACTCAATAAAAAACGATAAAGGAGATATCACCACCAATCCCACAGATATACAAACTACCATCAGAGAATACTATAAACACCTCTACGCAAATAAACTAGAAAACCTAGAAGAAATGGATGAATTCCTGGACACATACACCCTCCCAAGACTAAACCAGGAAGAAGCTGAATTCCTGAATAGACCAATAACAGACTCTGAAGTTGAGGCAATAATTAATAGCCTACCAACCAAAAAAGTCCAGGACCAGATGGATTCACAGCCAAATTCTACCAGAGGTACAAGGAAGAGCTGTTACTATTTCTTCTGAAACTATTCCAATCAATAGAAAAAGAGGGAATCCTCCCTAACTCATTTTATGAGGCCAACATCATCTTGTTACCAAAGCCTGGCAGAGACACAACAAAAAAAGAGATTTTAGACCAATATCCCTGATGAACATCAATGCAAAAATCCTCAATAAAATACTGGCAAACCTAATGCAGCAGCACATCAAAAACCTTATCCACCATGATCAAGTGGGCTTCATCCCTGGAATGCAGGGTTGGTTCAACATATGCAAATCAATAAATGTAATCTGGCATATAAACAGAACCAAAGACAAAAACCACATGATTATCTCAATAGATGCAGAAAAGGCCTTGGACAAAATTCAACAGCCCTTCATGTAAAAACTCTTAATAAATTCGGTATTGATGGGGTGTATCTCAAAATAATAAGAGCTATTTATGACAAACCCACAGCCAATATCATACTGAATGGCCAAAAAAATGGAAGCATTCCCTTTGAAAACTGGCACAAGACAGGGATGCCCTCTCTCACCACTCCTATTCAACATAGTGTTGGAAGTTCTGGCCAAGGCAATCAGGCAGGAGAAAGAAATAAAGGGTATTCAATTAGGAAAAGAGGAAATCAAATTGTCCCTGTTTGCAGATGACATGATTGCATATTTAGAAAACCCCATTGTCTCAGCCCAAAATCTTAAGTTGATAAGCAACTTCAGCAAAGTCCCAGGATACAAAATCAAGATGCAAAAATCACAAGCATTCTTACACACCAATAACTGACAAACAGAGAGCCAAATCATGAGTGAAATCCCATTCACAATTGCTTCAAATAGAATAAAATACCTAGAAATACAACTTATAAGGGATGTGAAGGACCTCTTCAAGAAGAACTACAAACCACTGCTCAACGAAATAAAAGAGGACACAAACAAATGGAAGAACATTCCATGCTCATGGATAGGAAGAATCAATATCGTGAAAATGGCCATACTGCCTAAGGTAATTTATAGATCCAATGCCATCCCCATCAAGCTACAAATGAATTTCTTCACAGAATTGGAAAAAACTAAAGTTCATATGGAACCAAAAAAGAGCCCACATTACCAAAACAATGCTAAGGCAAAAGAACAAAGCTGGAGGCATCACGCTACCTGACTTCAAACTATACTACAAGGCTACAGTAACCAAAACAGCATGGTACTGGTACCACAACAGAGATATAGACCAATGGAACAGAACAGATCCCTCAGAAATAATGACGCACATCTGCAGCCATCTGATCTTTCACAAACCTGAGAAAAACAAGAAATGGGGAAAGGATTCCCTATTTAATAAATGGTACTGGGAAAATGGGCTAGCCATATGCAGAAAGCTGAAATTGGATCCCTTCCTTACACCTTATACAAAAATTAATTCAAGATGGATTGGAGACTTAAATGTTAGACCTAAAACCATAAAACCCCTAGAAGAAAACCTAGGTAATACCATTCAGGACATAGGCATGGGCAAGGACTTCATGTCGAAAACATCGAAACCAATGGCAACAAAACCAAAATTGCCTAATGAGCTCTAATTAAACTAAAGAGCTTCTGCACAGCAAAAGAAACTACCATCAGAGTGAACAGGCAACCTACAGAAAGGGAGAAACTTTTTGCAATCTACTCATCTGACAAAGGGCTAATATCCAGAACCTATAAAGAACTCAAACAAATTTACAAGAAAAAAACAACCCCATCAAAAGGTGGGCAAAGGATATGAACAGACACTTCTGAAAAGAAGACATTTATGCAGCCAACAGACACGAAAAATTCTCATCATCACTGGCAATCAGAGAAGTGCAAATCAAAACCACAATGAGATAACATCTCACACCAGTTAGAATGGCAATCATTAAAAAGTCAGGAAACAACAGGTACTGGAGAGGATGTGGAGAAATAGGAACACTTTTACACTGTGGAAGACAGTGTGGCGATTCCTCAAGGACCTAGAACAGTTTGACCCAGCGATCCCATTACTGGGCATATACTCAAAGCCTTATAGATCACGCTACTACAAAGACACATGCACACGTATGTTTACTGCGGCACTATTCACAATAGCAAGGACTTGGAACCAACCCAAATGTCCATCAATGACAGACTGGATTAAGAAAATGTGGCACATATACACCATGGAATACTATGCAGCCATAAAAAAGGATGAGTTCATGTCCTTTGTAGGGCCATGGATGCAGCTGGAAACCATCATTCTCAGCAAACTATCACAAGAACAGAAAACCAACCACCACATGTTCTCACTCATAGGTGGGAATTGAACAATGAGAATACTTGGACACAAGGCTGGGAACATCGCATACCGGGGCTTGTCATGGGGTGTGGTGAGGGGGAGGGATAACATTAGGAGATAGATACACCTTATGTAAATGACGAGTAAATGGGTACAGCACACCAACATGGCACATGTATACATATGTAACAAACCTGCACGTTGTGCACATGTACCATAGAAGTTAAAGTATTATAATAATAAAAGAATGTGAAAGTCTAAGAGAGGAAAAAAAAGAGATCTTATGAAATCTACAAGATGTACTTCTGTGTGCCTAATACATCTAAGTTTTTATGTGTTATGTATACAATGTTTTACTACTAAAAATACATAAAAGAGCTCTAATTAATTGGCTTGAAGAAAAATAAAAGCGATTAAATCAAATATAAAAAAACACTAGTCAAGTGCTTTTACAAGTTCATGTGACTTAAGGAAAATCTTTAAGCTGGCTTTAAAATTATTGAAATAACATTAGAAATGTCTTAAGAATTGTTAGCATTTTT